ATGATTTAGCCATCTGAGGAGTACAATATTCACCGAGCCCGAAGGGCGAGGTGAATATTGTACTTCGAAGATGGTTAAATCATTGTATTGATAAAAAAAAAAACCCAGCAATAATTGTTTTATTATATGATTCACTGATAAAATGATCATTACTTGTTTGCATTTTATTAATTAAGTCCTAGCCAAATACAAGAGAGAAGCAGAATTAAAATATGAATAAACTTTACCAGTCATATCAATTTGAAATGTTCTTTTTTAAAATCAATTTTAGTTGCCATGAAAGAAATATATAATGTCAGTCTTTTTTAAAGGATAGATTTTGAAAGGAAGGAGTACATATATTCGCATATTATCAGGAAAAACTGACTGCCAAAAAGTAAAAAAAAATGTTGTTGAGTATAAATGTGTTGGAGTGGGTCCCTGCATCCCCTCTTACCACCCTCACCTAAAATATATATTTGCTTTGTTTTGTTCACATGAAAATAAAAATCATAGTCATTTAAATAGCTTTCTAAAACCATTTGTATCAATTTGGTATTTTCCAATCTTTTTTTAGATCAATGTATAGGAAATAAATCCTTGTATTGACCTGGAACGTCACGTGCAGGTCAATACAAGGTAATATTTTTCTAACATAGTTGGATCTCAGCCAATCAGAGAGATGGAAATTATTCAATCATATAATAAAAATATTTATAATAAATAGCCCCGGGTTCGATGTGCAATCAGTTTATCCTGTATGAGATAATATTGGTGTTTGAGGTATGATGTTGTATGAGATATTGGTTTTTAGCTCACCTCGACGAAGTCGAGATGAGCTTATGCTATAAAAAGCGTCGGCGTCCCAGGTTAAAGTTTTAGGAGCAAGTCCATTCCCAAGTAACTATAAACCCTACCTGAACCAAACTTGCAAGGATGATGCATCTAGGGATGTACACTACCAGACTTGCTTCGGATGCTGGATCTGACTTACATTTTCTAGATGAGTGACCTGGTTAAAGTTTTTGGAGCAGGTTAAAGTTTTTGGAGCAGGTCCATTTCCAAGGAACTATAAGCCCTACCGGGACCAAATTTGCATGGGTGATGCATCTAGGGATGTACACTACCAGACTTGCTTCGGATGCTGGATCTGACCTAAATTTTCCAGATGATTGACCAGGTTAAAGTTTTTGGAGCAGGTCCATTCCCAAGGAAGTATAAGCCCTACTCGGACCAAACTTGCATGGATGATGCATCTAGGGATGTACACTACCAAACTTGCTTCAGATGCTGGATCTGACCTACATTTTCCAGATGAGTGACCAGGTTAAAGTTTTTGGAGCAGGTCCATTCCACAGGAACTATAAGCCCTATTTGGACCAAACTTGCATGGATGATGCATCTAGGGATGTACACTACCAGATTTGCTTCGGATGCTGGAACTGACCTACATTTTCATTCCCAAGTAACTATAAGCCCTATTTGGACCAAACTTGCATGGATGATGTATCTAGGGATGGACACTACCAGACTTGCTTCGGATGCTGGATCTGACCTACATTTTCATTCCCAAGTAACTATAAGCCCTAGCTAAACTAAACTTGCATGGATGATGTATCTAGGGATGGACACTACCAGACTTGCTTCGGATGCTGGATCTGACCTACATTATCATTCCCAAGTAACTATAAGCCCTAGCTAAACCAAACTTGCATGGATGATGCATCTAAGGATGGACACTATCAGACTTGCTTCGGATGCTGGATCTGACCTTTATTTTCCATACAAGAGACTTGGTTAAAGTTTTGGGAACAGATCAATCCGAATGAACTTGAAGACCTTGATATCTGCATTATTAACAGTTATGAATATTTGTTTGTAAACACTATACATATACATATTTTTCATGCTACAGGCTTAGAAATGTGTATATGCCATGTAAGGGGCTAAACACAACTTTCAAGAATATTGTTGTTGGGATGAATACTAAATATAAGAAAATATGATGTGAGATTTGCATTACTTAAACTGATAACATTCGTCGAGGTGAGCTTCGTAATCTTTGATTACCTATGTTTGAGATATGATGTTGTATGAGATATTGATGTATGAGATATGTTGTTGCTGCATGATATATTGGGGTTAGGATTATGAAAGTTCAACACTGTACATATTTTCAGCAGTTTAATCAACATTCATTACTCCCCTTTCAGCTGTGCATTCAACATTTCTTACTCCCTTTCAGCTATTCCTCAGAGACGATGGAGGCTGACACATCCATGGACGACGTGGATACGTCGATCTTGATTGACTGTGTATGGAGGGAGGAATTCGAGTAAGTAATATACATGTATATACAGTACTTAATGTTCATTTTTTTTTTTAATCAAAATTTTAGTCCCATGCACTTTTTAAACAAAATCATTAGAAAAAATTTGTACAGTCCGGAAATGTATCCTTATGGTGAAGAGCTATAAGTCCCAAATTGAACTGGCCGACCCAATATTACTTGGTGACTCATAATTAACGGTAATTAAGTGAATAGGGAATGGATTCAAAGCAATTAAAAATTTAGAGATGGTGGATTTGATAAAAATGTGTTAACATTAGCAGTGCAAACACTTGAGACGAATTCAGGCAAGTGGGTTACAAAAGCCCAGTTGTTCATTAAAAATATAATAAAATATTTATGATTGAATTACAATTCAAAAATTTTTTTTTTGTTTTAACTCCTTTTACCACATTAAATACAAAAAATAAATAATAAACCACTGGATTTACAAATAATATATAAATCTTGTATGAAAGCAAGGTATTTCAAAATGGCGCCATTAACAATGTGGGGGATTTTATGAATTTTCAGAAAAAGGCATAAAAATTAAAAGTTAATTTGGATAATTTTCGTATTTAATTGTGCATTACTGTTCTTTTAATTAATGATTTTAAGTCTACTGTACGAAACAGGACCATTTATAAAAAGGTTGTTGATATACAGTAGGCAAATAAAAATTTTTATTAAAACATACTTTACTTTTGATGTTTGTTACAAGATTAGCCCCATGTCGATGTGCAATAAAGATATTTATATTTTGAGAAAATATTGGTGTTTGAGATATGATGTTGCTGTAAGATATATTGGGGTTAGGATTATTTTTCAATTACTGTAACTGATTTTCAGCAGTTTAATCAATATTCATTACTCCCCTTTCAGCTGTTCATTCAACATGTCTTACTCCCCTTTCAGCTGTTCCTCAGAGACGATGGAGGCTGACACATCCATGGACGACGTGGATACGACGATCTTGATTGACTGCGTATGGAGGGAGGAATTCGAGTAAGTAATATACATGTATATACTATTTATGTTCATGTTTTTTTTTTTACGATCAAATATATGTTGCCCAAGAGGCACAGTGGTAAGAGCGTCTGATTTAATTAGAGTTGTGAAGTAAGGAGATGATCCTTTGGTGAAGAGGTAATTTTGGGTGAAGGGGAGTGTAAATTATTGAAGTAAATGGCCAACCCCTAGGGGGGAATAATCAAGAAAGACAAAAATAGGATGGGGTCATTTAAAAATCTTAAGAACTACCAGGACAGAAACTCACCCCAGGGGTAGGTATGGGCCACTATGAGGAATCCCAAGATTTTTTTCATTGAAATATATAGTAAAAATGATAAAAACTCCTTCTTAAGAAATATTACCACTGGACTTGAAACGCTGAGACTTGTGTGGAAGCATCCTTGGATAGTGTAAAACCAATGTTACTCAGGTGAGCATTGTGACCTTTGGCCTCGTTTTATTATAAACCTCAAATGATTAATTAATGTCTTCATTTTAAGTCTACAGTTTACAGGACCATTTATAAAAAAAACTCACATGAGTCATAGTTTTTAAAAGATGCATGAATTAAAAATTGTTCCATGAAATGATATCATTTTTCAAGGTTTATTTCAAAAGTGATTTATAAGGAATATATTTTTACACTCAACATGCTCAAACTTCGCTATCTTGAACCCAACTGGACTGAGAAAAAATTTGAGATATCCAAGATATTGAGACATGGATGTTCGAGATACTGAGGTTCAAGTATATTTTATGTATAGATATTCAGGGTAAACTACTTATGGAGTAGGCATTGGGACTTAAAAATCACTATCCATTGTATTTGAGATATTGGTGTTTGAGATACTGAATGTCAAGTGCATTTCATTTTCAGTGTTCCAGCGAGGCCCATGGATGATGCTGAGAGGGAGGGACCATTGTAAGAGATTAGGTTTGTGGGGCCATTGTAAGTACAAACTAATTGATTAGGTTTGATGAGGGAGGGGCCATTGTAAGTACAAATTAATTGATTAGGTTTGATAAGGGAGGGACCATTGTAAGTACAAACTAATTGATTAGTTTAATGAGGGTGGGGCCATTGTAAGTACAAACTAATTGATTAGGTTTGATGAGGGAGGGGCCATTGTAAGTACAAATTAATTGATTAGGTTTGATGAGGGAGGGGCCATTGTAAGTACAAATTAATTGATTATGTTTGACGAGGGAGGGGCCTTTGTAAGTACAAACTAATTGATTAGTTTTGATAAGGGAGGGACCATTGTAAGTACAAATTAATTGATTAGTTTAATGAGGGTGGGGCCATTGTAAGTACAAACTAATTGATTAGGTTTGATGAGGGAGGGGCCATAAATGTAAGTACAAACTAATTAATTAGGTTTGATGAGGGAGGGGCCATAAATGTAAGTACAAACTAATTAATTAGGTTTGATGAGGGAGGGACATTAAATTTGAAAGTACAAACTACTGAAACTACTCCATTGAAAACAATCTTGATTTTCTTTTTTAAAGAGATTCATATTTTTTAACAAAAAAGTTTCAGTGTTCAGTTAGGTGGGGTTCTTTTTCTTTGTTAATTTTTGTATTTTTTTTTTTTTTTTGAGAATTTGAATGATTTAGAAAATTATATTTTGAAAGTTTATGGAAATTCAGCATAAATGTGTTAATTTTTAGCAGAAAGATGAGTATCAGGTACATAATTCTATACCTGTCTTTATACAAAAAATGATTTTACTGTGTGAGAACTGGGCAGTTATCATGTTATGGTGTTCATGTCCATCCAACTTTCTTTAACTTTTTTCATATCTGGTTCAAATATTAAACTTAAAATATGAAGTGTAGAGGAATCCATTTTTTCCCTTCCACTATTGAAACTTTTTATAATTTTTAAAACATGTTTATCACATGCCATGCTGCACCAATATTTGAGGAATAGGTGAAAGGGGCAAAAATTTCTCGGTATACAGAAATATACTACGAAAAAAACTAATCTTTATCAATTAAATTCCCTTATTTCAAATTTGTCCACAAGCAACAAAAGAAATAAAACAATGACAGAGTTTGATCCTTGACTTGTGATTGTAGGTTTGATGAGAGTTTTCGTTTGCTTTGTGAGCAAGTGGAGGCACTCAGAGCTTATGGACAAGCGGTCAAGGAGGAGCTGCGGCTAATGGATGAGGAGACAGAGGTAAACATGAATAGTAACACAGCTCGTGCCCTGTGTACAAAAATAGTTTATATTTTCATGAATTATGTGAAATTCAAAAGCACTACGGTGAGATTTTGTGAAATTAACCATTGAGTCAAGGGTTCTGGTTCAAGTGCAGGGCTTCATTGTTTAATTTGCTAGGCTGGGGGGAGCCATTTTCAGACTATATTGATCTCCTTTAAAAGAAGAGCTCCATTTAAAGATATAAAAAAATGATCAAATTTTAAAGTGCTTAAGATACCATTTCTAAAAAAAGTAAGTTAGTTTGTTGATCCCTAGCCTTCTTACCCAAATGCTGATTGAAACTTGTGACCTGGTCCATATTAGCTTAAAGATATGTATGCTCTGTTAAACAGTATTTTTGCACAGCTGAAACCAAACAAAAATTTTTGAAGCATGATGAGGCAGAGCTATCAAAAATGAAGCATTCCTGCAAATTGGATGAAATATTATTCGGTATTAACAAAGTACTGGTCGGGAAAAAACACAATATTCTCATGCATATTTATAAAGGACCTACGTATATGCACTTTTGCGCATGTGCGCGGGAAATAAAGATCAGATAAAACTATTTTTTGTGACACTGTTTAAATTACAAAATTAACCAACTCTGAGGTGTTCAGGTTACTTGACAAGTTTACAATGTGTACAAGTTTGAAACATACAGTATGCTGTATACACGTTCTAGGATCAATGCACATGAGAAAATACTGAGAAACTTGAGCGGCTGAAATCAACGGCCATATTAATCAGTTGATAAAATAAATGGAATAAACGGCCACCTGTTAAACAGTCATTTTTGCACACTGTAAAAATGTCACATATAATTTTTATTTCGCTAAAATGAGCTATCAAAAATTAATGCAATTAAAACAAATTACTATTTCCCTTGCATTAATTTGTGATGAAAAAAATCATAAACCAACAAATTATGTAAAAATCATAGTTTCCTCTACCTAAAGAAATTCACAAGTTACAAGTAGAAGCCCTAATTGCTACACTTGTGAAAACAAAGTTTCATGCGGCATGACTAATGACTTTGGAAAGATTTTTACGCTCCTGTAAATTGACACCTGTGTTTGATTTTCAAATACACAAATTAATTAAGATTTGTGTATCTGTGATTATCAAGAAATTTTAGCTTTATGCAAATTTGGCAAATACTTCAACAAGTAAGTTAATTGCCGATGTATTGGGGGGGGGGGGTATTAACAAAGTACATTTCGGGAAAAAAACATATTCTCATGCATATTTATAAAGGACCTACTTATATGCTGGATTTTCTGCACCATGTGTGCGGGAAAAGCATTTTTGTGAATTATTTTCAGATTGAGGAAATTATTTTTTGTATTTTTTGTTTATGAGGTACAAAAGCATAACCAACTCTGAGGTGTGCTAACTAAATGACAATGTTTACAATGTGTACAATCTTCGAAACATATATTTTTTTTAAAATACACATTTTTCACATGCACAATTAATATAGAGGTAATTTAAAAAAAAAATGTGAAACTTAAGTCTTTTTAGCTCACCTCAACGAAGTTGGGGGGAGCTTATGTGATACCCTCGGCGTATTTAAAAAAAAATATGAAACTCAGGTAAACGTTTTGGGTCCTCCCCTGGAGCTTTAAACCCACAGGTTAAGGTTAAGTTTTTTGAAGCAGTTTTCTTTTTAATTACTTCTGTGTCCTATACTGATTAGACAAGCATGGAAAATGGTTTTAGTGTGTTTAATTGTACCAGACAAAGTTTCAGATGCTGCAGTTTCAGCAAAGGAATTACCAGGTTAATGTTTTTGGAGCAGGTTAACATTTTTGGTGTGGGTTTCATTTCCAAGTAACTATAAGCCTTATGTTGACCAAACTTGCATGGATGATACATCTAAAGATGTATACTACCGTGCTTGCTTCCGATGCTAAATCTGACCTTCATTTTCCGGTTGAGTGAACAGGTTAAAGTTTTTGGTGTAAGTTTCATTTGCAAGTAACTATAAGCCCTATGTTGACCAAACTTACATGGATGATACATCTAAGGATGCATACTACCGAGCTTGTTTCAGATGCTGAATCTGACCTACATTTTCCAGTTGAGTGAACAGGTTAAAGTTTTTTGTGAGGGTTTCATTTCCAAGTAACTTTAAGCCCTATGTTGACCAAACTTGCATGGATGATACATCTAAGGATGCATACTACCAGGCTTGCTTCAGATGCTGAATCTGACCTACATTTTCCAGTTGAGTGAACAGGTTACAATTTTGGTGCAGGTTTCATTTCCAAGTAACTATAAGCCCTGTGTTGACCCAACTTGCATGGATGATACATCTAAGGATGCATACTACTGGGCTTGCTTTGGATGCTGAATCTGACCTACATTTTCCAGTTGAGCGAACATGTTAATGTTGTTGGTGCAGGTTTCATTTGCAAGTAACTTTAAGCCCTGTGTTGACCAAACTTGCATGGATGATACATCTAAGGATGCATACTACCAGGCTTGCTTCGGATGCTGAATCTGACCTACATTTTCCTGTTGAGTGATTAGTTAAAAATTTTTAGTGCAGGTTTCATTTCCAAGGAACTATGAGTTCTTTTATGACCAATTTTGCATAGATGATACATCTAAGGATGCATACTTCCAGGCTTGCTTCGGATGCTGAATCTGACCTACTTTTTGTGGATGAGTGAAAAATGTTAGTTTTGATGCATGTTTCATTTCCAATAAACTATGAGCCCTATAATGAGCAAACTTGCATGGATGATACATCTAAGGATGCACACTAATAGACTTGCTTTGGATGCTGAATTGGACATACATTTTTCAGATAATAGACAAGGTAAAAAATATAGTTGCAGGTCTATTACTAAAAACTATAAGGCTTATATAACATTGTATAAACCAAACTTGCACAAATGGTGCATCAAGGGATGAAAACTCTCAAATTAGCTTCAGATGCTGGATTTTCATGACATTTTCATGAAGAAGAAGTTGTTTAAATTTTTTATGTAGGTCTATTTCAAAGTATCAGATCAAAATTGCTTTTAGAAATATTTTCATTTTTGGAATGTATACTTTTTGTTTGTTAATCATGTGACTTTGCCTTATTTAAAGACAACTTTCGTTGAGGTGAGCTCTGTAATTAATCTCTGATTACCTACGTTTTATAAATGCATAAACTTTAAATTTCTACGTGTAGTAATAGCTTAGCAACAATTAATTCAACCAGTTACATGGAGAATTAACGGATATCGAGTTTAAAAACTGAGTCTTAAAAATTATTTACTTGTGGAGACATTGTTAGTGATATTTCAAAGTACTTTTTAAAAAGAGAAAAGATTTTGTTTGTCAGTGTGAGCATGGGAATTCTCACTTATTACCTATTCTTCTTATTTTTCTCAAACACGTTTCAAAAAATTGTAAACGTGACTTTCCAGCCGTCATTTGAAATTTTATCCTAAATTTCCCTAACCCACGTGTTTGTAGTAAAAGCGCAGTAGACCATCATGCTTTTCAGCTCATTCACGAGATTGGACCTCAGATTGTTTGCTGTGAGCATGCGAGACCATGTGATCATGAATATTTCAATAAGAGGCGGTTTAATATCCGACTCGGAGAGAAAATAATTTTTACAAAATAATATTTAATAACTTTTAAAAGTGATTGAGTAGAATTGTCTTATTTGCAGAAAGTATATAACTTTTATAACTTGATGAGACACCACATATATTTAATTCTTTAAAAATAAAACTCTAATACGGCATATATATCTTTAAGGTTTGATTACATTCCTCTTATTATTTTAGCTCATCTGAGCTGAAGGCTTATAATTAACTTAAAAGAGCTTTCCTCAAGAACCAATTTTAACCAGACTTGCCCTAAGTATCCTTGGGTGATGGAAATTCAATTGATGGCTCCATTCTCTTTTAAGGGAAGATAATTATGATTTAGTGAAAAATTACTTGGAGATTTTAAAAATCATTTTCTATAAAGGAACAAATGTATAGGAAAGATGGAACTTGTATGGATACATCTTCAAGTGGAGTTTTATGAAGAGACTTACTTTAACATTCGACAGCTGACTTTTACATTTTAGTAAATGGAGTTTGTCTCTGTTGAAATTGTACAAGTCAGTTGTCAATTGCAAAAGTTTCTTAATAAAACTCCAGTAGTGTAGATTCAAGTTTATGACCCCTAGTAAAAGGGTGGGGCTATAATGGATGATCATAGGAGTTTTACATAGGAATATATAGGAAAAAATCTTTTATAGTCTTTTTTCTTAAAAACAGCTAAGCCATAATTGGTCATATTTATACATGAAAGCTTCCGCAGGTGAAATAGTGTAGATTCAAGTCCTGAGTGCCCCAGGCAAAGGAACAGTTGCTACCATTATCTTTGTTGTCTTCGCTTTAAAATTTAATAATTTTGAAATGTGGCAATATTACAGGTATTCAGTTATTGAAAATGAATTGATCAAAATGAAAAATTCTCATACGCATGAAAATTTTAATTCCTGATAAACATAAATTTAAACTCATTTGATTATAATATTAATTTTTTTTGCTGTTGTAGTGTTTGTTCATGATGAGCATTTTTGTTTATTTGGACAAATGTATATGTAATGTACTTTAATGAGTAAAATATGAATAAGCCTGTTTTATAAATATTATTTCAGTATGAGGAGATGCCTACGTTTGATGTACAGGATCCTGTGAGGACTGTTTTGCCTCAGTCCTGTGCGACTCCCTCCCTACCTGCTGATCTTGATGTACCTGGTGTAGTGGCAGATGTCCCTGATGCTCCTGATGTGGTGGCAGATATTCCTGATGTGGTATCAGATGTTCCGGATGTAGTGGCAGATGTTCCTAGTGTGGTGGCAGATGTTCCTGGTGTGGTGGCAGATGTTTCTGGTGTGGTGCCACATGTCCCTGATGCTCCTGTGATGCCAGATGCTCCTGGTGTGATGGCAGATGTTCCTGATGTGGTGGCAGATGTTCCTGGTGTAGTGGCAGATGTCTGTGATGTTCCTGGTGTGGTGCCAGATGTCCCTATTGCTCCTGGTGTGGTGCCAGATGCTCCTGGTGTGATGGCAGATATTCCTGATGTGGTGGCAGATGCTCCTGGTGTAGAGGCAGATGTTCCTAGTGTGGTGGTGTGGTGCCAGATGTTCCTGATGTTCCTGGTGTGGTGCCAGATGTTCCTGATGCTCCTGGTGTGGTGTCAGATGCTCCTGGTGTGGTGCCAGATTATCCTGGTGTGGTGCCAGATGTCCCTGATGCTCCTGGTGTGATGGCAGATGTTCCTGGTGTGATGGCAGATGTTTCTGATGTGTTGGCAGATGTTCCTTTTGTGGTGCCAGGTGTCCATGATGCTCCTGGTGTAGTGGCAGATGTTCCTGGTGTGGTGCCAGATGTTCCTGGTCTAGTGGCAGATGTTCCTGGTGTGGTGCCAGATGTCCCTGATACTCCTGGTGTGGTGCCAGATGTTCCTGGTGTGGTGCCAGATGCTCCTGGTGTGGTGGCAGATGTTCCTGGTATAGTGGCAGATGTTCCTGGTGTAGTGGCAGATGTTCCTGGTGTGGTGCCAGATGTCCCTGATGCTCCTGGTGTGGTGCCAGATGCTCCTGGTGTGATGGCAGATGTTCCTGATGTTGTGGCAGATGTTCCTAGTGTGGTGGCAGATGTTCCTGGTGTAGTGGCAGATGTTCCTGGTGTGGTGGCAGATGTTCCTTTTGTGGTGCCAGGTGTCCATGATGCTCCTGGTGTGGTGGCAGATGTTCCTGGTGTGGTGGCAGATGTCCATGATGCTCTTGGTGTGGTGCCAGATGTCCCTGATGGCAGATGTTCCTGGTGTGTGGCAGATGTTCCTGGTGTGAGTGGCAGATGTTCCTGGTGTGTGACAGATGTTCCTGGTGTGTGGCAGATGCTCCAGGTGTAGTGGCAGTTGTTCCTAGTGTGGAGGCAGATGTTTTTGGTGTGGTGCCAGATATCCCTGATGCTCCTGGTGTGGTGGCAGATGCTCCTGATGCTCCTGGTGTGGTGGCAGATTTTCCTGATGTGGTGGCAGATGTTCCTGGTGTTGTGCTAGATGTTCCTGGTGTGGTGCCATATGTTCCTAATGTGGTGCCAGATGTCATTGATGTTCCTTTTGTGGTGCCAGATGTCCTTGATGTTTTGGATGTGGTGCCAGATGTCCTTGATGTTTCGGATGTTGTGCCAGATGTCCCTGATGTTCTTGATGTGGTGCCAGATGTCCCTGATGTTTCTGATGTGGTGCCAGATGTCATTGATGCTCCTGGTGCAGCGACAGATGTCCTTGATGTTTCTGATGTGGTGCCAGATGTCCCTGATGTTCCTGGTGTGGTGGCAGATGTCCATGATGTTACTTAAGAAGGTAGGAGTTAACTACTCATCAGATTAAATTTCAATTTCAGTTATTTGCTTCAAGAGGTTTGTCTTGAATAATTATAAAATTTAAAAAATCTATTACATTCCATAGAGGGAGGATTTGGGGTAGAGTTAGGTTTAGGGAGGGTTTATGATAGAGTTAGTTTGAGGGAGGGCTTGATGTAGTGTTAGGTTGAGGGAGGGTTTGGGGTACAGTTAGGTTGAGGGAGGGTTTGGGTAGCGTTAGGTTGAATTAGGGTTTGGGTCGAGTTAGGTTGAATTAGGGTTTGCGGTAGAGTTAGGTGGATCTGGGGCTTAGAGAATAGGTTCCTGGCCTATTAGATGCTTGTTGTAGGAGGCGACAGAATTTCCCATTAAAAAGTATCATTAAATTTTTTTTTAAAAACTAAATTAAAGACGTACAGTTAGTTTTATTTTTATCTATGCTATGTCTTATACAACTCCTGCACACACCGCCGTATTGGCATAGCATCCATGAGAATATAGTTATCCCTGTAAAAATCCAATGAATAAAAATTAAAGATAAGAGATGAAATAGGTTTGAGTTCAATTATCTTAAGATTACTTAAGAAGGTAGGAGTTAAGTTATTATAAGATTAAATTTCCATTTCATTTGTTTGGTTATGATGGTTATAGAGGTTTGTCTTAAATAATTATAAAACTTCAAACGATTTCTGATTTTTTTTTTTTAAATGTATAACATTCCATTGAGGGGGGGGGGGGGGGGGTAGAGTTAGGTTGAGGGAGGGTTTGGGGTAGAGTTAGGTTTGTTTAGTTCCCTTGGTCCTTTTTGATTGGTTAAACCCCCTGGTGGATCGGGGGCTTAGAGAATAGGTTCCTGGCCTATTAGAGGCTTGTCGTAAGAGGCGACAGAATTTCCCATTAAATAGTTGTATTATTAAAAAAATTTTAAAATACTAAATTAAAGAAGTTCAGTTAGTTTTATTCTTATCTATGCTATGTCTTATACAACTCCTGCACACACCGCCGTATTGGCATAGCATTCATGAGAATATAGTTTCTTATCCCTATAAAAACCCATTGAATAAAAATTAAAGATAAGAGATGAAATAGGTTTGAGTTCAATTATCTTAAGATTACTTAAGAAGGTAGGAGTTAAGTTATTATAAGATTAAATTTCCATTTCATTTGTTTGGTTATGATGGTTATAGAGGTTTGTCTTAAATAATTATAAAACTTCAAACGATTTCTGATTTTTTTTTTTAAAAAAATATATAACATTCCATTGAAGGGGGGGGGGGGTAGAGTTAGGTTGAGGGAGCGTTTGGGGTAGAGTTAGGTTTGTTTAGTTCCCTTGGTCCTTTTTGATTGGTTAAACCCCCTGGTGGATCGGGGGCTTAGAGAATAGGTTCCTGGCCTATTAGAGGCTTGTCGTAAGAGGCGACAGAATTTCCCATTAAATAGTTGTATTTTTAAAAAAAATTTTAAAAACTAAATTAAAGAAGTTCAGTTAGTTTTATTCTTATCTATGCTATGTCTTATACAACTCCTGCACACACCGCCGTATTGGCATAGCATTCATGAGAATATAGTTTCTTATCCCTATAAAAACCCATTGAATAAAAATTAAAGATAAGAGATGAAATAGGTTTGAGTTCAATTATCTTAAGATTACTTAAGAAGGTAGGAGTTAAGTTATTATAAGATTAAATTTCCATTTCATTTGTTTGGTTATGATGGTTATAGAGGTTTGTCTTAAATAATTATAAAACTTCAAACGATTTCTGATTTAAAAAAAAAAATGTATAACATTCCATTGAAGGGGGGGGGGGGGTAGAGTTAGGTTGAGGGAGTGTTTGGGGTAGAGTTAGGTTTGTTTAGTTCCCTTGGTCCTTTTTGATTGGTTAAACCCCCTGGTGGATCGGGGGCTTAGAGAATAGGTTCCTGGCCTATTAGAGGCTTGTCGTAAGAGGCGACAGAATTTCCCATTAAATAGTTGTATTATTAAAAAAAATTTTAAATACTAAATTAAAGAAGTTCAGTTAGTTTTATTCTTATCTATGCTATGTCTTATACAACTCCTGCACACACCGCCGTATTGGCATAGCATTCATGAGAATATAGTTTCTTATCCCTATAAAAACCCATTGAATAAAAATTAAAGATAAGAGATGAAATAGGTTTGAGTTCAATTATCTTAAGATTACTTAAGAAGGTAGGAGTTAAGTTATTATAAGATTAAATTTCCATTTCATTTGTTTGGTTATGATGGTTATAGAGGTTTGTCTTAAATAATTATAAAACTTCAAACGATTTCTGATTTAAAAAAAAAATGTATAACATTCCATTGAATGGGGGGGGGGTAGAGTTAGGTTGAGGGAGCGTTTGGGGTAGAGTTAGGTTTGTTTAGTTCCCTTGGTCCTTTTTGATTGGTTAAACCCCCTGGTGGATCGGGGGCTTAGAGAATAGGTTCCTGGCCTATTAGAGGCTTGTCGTAAGAGGCGACAGAATTTCCCATTAAATAGTTGTATTATTAAAAAAAATTTTAAATACTAAATTAAAGAAGTTCAGTTAGTTTTATTCTTATCTATGCTATGTCTTATACAACTCCTGCACACACCGCCGTATTGGCATAGCATTCATGAGAATATAGTTTCTTATCCCTATAAAAACCCATTGAATAAAAATTAAAGATAAGAGATGAAATAGGTTTGAGTTCAATTATCTTAAGATTACTTAAGAAGGTAGGAGTTAAGTTATTATAAGATTAAATTTCCATTTCATTTGTTTGGTTATGATGGTTATAGAGGTTTGTCTTAAATAATTATAAAACTTCAAACGATTTCTGATTTTTTTAAAAAAAAATTAATAACATTTCATTGAGGGGGGGGGGGGGGGTAGAGTTAGGTTGAGGGAGCGTTTGGGGTAGAGTTAGGTTTGTTTAGTTCCCTTGGTCCTTTTTGATTGGTTAAACCCCCTGGTGGATCGGGGGCTTAGAGAATAGGTTCCTGGCCTATTAGAGGCTTGTCGTAAGAGGCGACAGAATTTCCCATTAAATAGTTGTATTATTAAAAAAAATTTTAAATACTAAATTAAAGAAGTTCAGTTAGTTTTATTCTTATCTATGCTATGTCTTATACAACTCCTGCACACACCGCCGTATTGGCATAGCATTCATGAGAATATAGTTTCTTATCCCTATAAAAACCCATTGAATAAAAATTAAAGATAAGAGATGAAATAGGTTTGAGTTCAATTATCTTAAGATTACTTAAGAAGGTAGGAGTTAAGTTATTATAAGATTAAATTTCCATTTCATTTGTTTGGTTATGATGGTTATAGAGGTTTGTCTTAAATAATTATAAAACTTCAAACGATTTCTGATTAAAAAAAAAAAATGTATAACATTCCATTGAAGGGGGGGGGGGGGTAGAGTTAGGTTGAGGGAGCGTTTGGGGTAGAGTTAGGTTTGTTTAGTTCCCTTGGTCCTTTTTGATTGGTTAAACCCCCTGGTGGATCGGGGGCTTAGAGAATAGGTTCCTGGCCTATTAGAGGCTTGTCGTAAGAGGCGACAGAATTTCCCATTAAATAGTTGTATTATTAAAAATTTTTTTAAATACTAAATTAAAGAAGTTCAGTTAGTTTTATTCTTATCTATGCTATGTCTTATACAACTCCTGCACACACCGCCGTATTGGCATAGCATTCATGAGAATATAGTTTCTTATCCCTATAAAAACCCATTGAATAAAAATTAAAGATAAGAGATGAAATAGGTTTGAGTTCAATTATCTTAAGATTACTTAAGAAGGTAGGAGTTAAGTTATTATAAGATTAAATTTCCATTTCATTTGTTTGGTTATGATGGTTATAGAGGTTTGTCTTAAATAATTATAAAACTTCAAACGATTTCTGATTTTTT